TTAAAACTTCTCAAGTTCTAAAATAGAAATAGAAATATCGAACAACTGAAAATCGAAAAATCTACAAATAGAAAATTGATAATTCGAAGAATCTAGGATTTTAAATATTGAAAAATTAAAATATCGTGAAACTGAAAAATCTGGAAATTGAAAAACCGCGGAATCTAAACAACAAAAAATCTAAAAGGGAAAAAATCGAAAAATCATAAAACCGAAAAATTTAAAAATCAGGCAATCGGGAAATTGAAACATTGAAAAGTCAAAAAATCGAAAAGACGTAAAGTTGAAAAATCGGAAAGTCGGAAAATCAAAAAAATCTTAAAATTGAGAAATTGAAAAATCGAAAATTTTAGAAATCGAAAAATTTCGAAAACCAAAAAATCTTAAACCGACAAGTCGAAAAATCAAAAGATCGAGAAAAAGAAACATCAAAAAACTGAAAAATCCAAAACTCAAAAATTTAAAAATCCAAAATAAAAAAACATTCGAAATTTAAAAAATCGATAAATCGAAAAGTCTAAAAATTGAACAGATCGAGAAAAACTGAATTATCCAAACATAGAAATCTCGAGAAATCAAAAAAATTCGAAAATCGAAAAACTGAAAAATCGAAAAATCACAAGTTTTAAAAAATGGAAAAATTGAAAAATACAAACATTGGAGAACCGAAAGATCGAAAATTGAGAAACTGAAAATTCTAAAATTTTAGAAGTTGAAAAATCTAAAATTTAACAACCGAAAAATTGGAAATTCAAAATACAAAATTAAGAAATCGAAGAATCGAAAAAACGAAACTTGAAAACACCAAAATCGGATATATCAAATAATTGAAAAAACGAAGAAAATTTGAAGATTAGATAAATAATAGAAATATCTGAATCGAGAAAACAGAAGTCCAAAAATCTACAGTTTTAAAAATCGAAAATTTAAAGATTCGAGAAACTGAAAAATCGAAAATGTAAAAAATCGAGAAATCGAAAATTCGAAAAATCCAAAAATCGAAAAATTCGAAAAATAAAATATCCAAAAATTGACAAATCGAAGAAAAACTGAAGAATCTATAAAGCGAAAAACTGAAAAATTAACTTGGAAAATTGAAAAATTGAACAACTGAAAAGCTGAAAAATCAAAAAGTCGAGAAATCGAAAAATGAGAAAATCAAAAATCGAAAAGTATATAATTGAAAAATTGCAAATTAAAAATTAAAAAAAAAAATAAAATAGAAATATTTTAAGTTAAAAAGATCGATAAATCCAGAAATCGAAAAACTAAGAAAATTTTAAAAATTGAAAAATCGAAAAATTTTAAAGCGAGAAGTCAAAATCAAAACATCGAGAAAACGAAACACCAAAAAATTGAAAAATTCAAAATTCATAAATTCGAAAAATTATAAAATTGAAATCGAATATCGATCAACTGAAAATGGAAAAATCGAGAAATCGAAAAATCTGTCATTTTAAAATTTGAAAAATTAAAATATCGAAAAGCTTAAGAATCTAAAAAAAGAAAAATCGCGAAATCTAAACATCAAAAAATCGAAATACTGCAAAATCTAAAAAGTGATAAATCGAAAAATCAAAAACCTGAAAAATTTTAAAATCAGCCAATCGGGAAACTGAAACATTGAAAAGTCAAAAAATCGAAAAGTGGAAAAATCAAAAAAATCTTAAAATTGAGAAATTGAAATTAAAAATTGAATAAAACATAAAAATTGAAAAAATTTTAAATTAAAAAAATCGATTAATAGAAAAATAAAAAAATCGTGGAATTGAAAAATTAGAGGACCATAGTATAGAAATCTCGATAAATTCAGAAAACGAAAATTTGAAAAATCGAAAAATCATAAATTTTAAAACTTCTCAAGTTCTAAAATAGAAATAGAAATATCGAACAACTGAAAAATCGAAAAATATACAAATAGAAAATCGATAATTTGAAGAATCTAGGATTTTAAATATTGAAAAATTAAAATATCGTGAAACTGAAAAATCTGGAAATTGAAAAACCGCGGAATCTAAACAACAAAAAAAAAAAAACTAAAAATCAGGAAATTGAAACATTGAAACTTCGAAAAATCGAGGAGAAATATTAAAGTCAAAAAATCGAAAAGACGTAAAGTTGAAAAATTGGAAAGTCGGAAAATCAAAAAAAATCTTAAAATTGAGAAATTGAAAAATCGAAAATTTTAGAAATCGAAAAATTTCGAAAACCAAAAAATCTTAAACCGACAAGTCGAAAACTCAAAAGATCGAGAAAAAGAAACATCAAAAAACTGAAAAATCCAAAACTCAAAAATTTAAAAATCCAAAATAAAAAACATTCGAAATTTAAAAAATCGATAAATTGGAAAGTCTAAATTGAACAGATCGAGAAAAATTGAATTATCGAAACATAGAAATCTCGAGAAATCAAAAAAATTCAAAAATCGAAAAACTGAAAAATCGAAAAAACACAAGTTTTAAAAATGGAAAAATTGAATAATACAAACATTGGAGAACCGAAAGATCGAAAATTGAGAAACTGAAAATTCTAAAATTTTAGAAGTTGAAAAATCTAAAATTTAACAACCGAAAAATTGAAAAATCAAAATACAAAATTAAGAAATCGAAGAATCGAAAAAACGAAACTTGAAAACACCAAAATCGGTTATATCAAATAATTGAAAAAACGAAGAAAATTTGAAGATTAGATAAATAATAGAAATATCTGAAAAATCAAAAAATCGAGAAAACAAGTCGAAAAATCTACAATTTTAAAAATCGAAAATTTAAAGATTCGAGAAACTGAAAAATCGAAAACGTAAAAAATCGAGAAATCGAAAATTTGAAAAATCTAAAAATCGCAAAATTCAAGATTTGAAAAATTCGAAAACTAAAATATCCGAAAATTGACAAATCGAAGAAAAACTGAAGAATCTATAAAGTGAAAAACTGAAAAATTAACTTGGAAAATTGAAAAATTGAACAATTGAAAAACTGAAAAATCAAAAATCGAAAACACGTAACTTCGAGAAAACGAGAAGTCGAACAATGAAAAAATTAATTAAAACAGAAGTGACGAAAAATTGGAAAATCGAAAAATTGAAAAAGTTATAACTGAAAAATTAAAAATTAAAGAAAAAAATAAAAATAGAAAAATTTCAAATTGAAAAAATCGATAAACAGAAAAATTGAGAAGGTGAAAAATAAAAAAATTTAAAAATCGAAAAAATCTTAAATCGAGAAGTCAATAAATCAAAAGGTCAAGAAAACGAACCATCAAAAAATTGAAAAATTCAAAATTTATAAATTCGAAAAATTGTGAAATTGAAATAGAATATCGAACTGAAAAATGGAAAAATCGAGAAATCGAAAAATCTGGCATTTAGAAATTTAAAACTTTAAAATATCGAAAAGCTGAAGAATCTAGAAATTGAAAAATCGCGTAATCTAAACATCTAATAAAAATCGAAAAACTGAGAAATCTAAAAAGGAAAAAATCGAAAAATCATAAAACCGAAAAATTTAAAAATCAGGCAATCGGGAAATTGAAACATTGAAAAGTCAAAAAATCGAGAAATTTTAAAGTCAAAAAATCGAAAAGACGTAAAGTTGAAAAATCGAAAAGTCGGAAAATCAAAAAAAATCTTAAAATTGAGAAATTGAAAAATCGAAAATTTTAGAAATCGAAGAATTTCGAAAACCAAAAAATCTTAAACCGACAAGTCAAAAAATCAAAAGACCGAGAAAAAGAAACATCAAAAAACTGAAAAATCCAAAACTCAAAAATTTTAAAATCCAAAATAAAAAAACATTCGAAATTTAAAAAATCGATAAATCGAAAAGTCTAAAATTGAACACATCGACAAAAATTGAATTATCGAAACATAGAAATCTCGAGAAATCAAAAAAATTCGAAAATCAAAAAACTGAAAAATCGAAAAATCACAAGTTTTAAAAAATGGAAAAATTGAAAAATACAAACATTGGAGAACCGAAAGATCGAAAATTGAGAAACCGAAAATTCTAAAATTTTAATTTGAAGATTAGATAAATAATAGAAATATCTGAAAAATCAAAAAATCGAGAAAACAGAAGTCGAAAAATCTCCAATTTTAAAAATCGAAAATTTAAAGATTCAAGAAACTGAAAAATCGAGAACGTAACAAATCGAGAAATCGAAAATTCGAAAAATCCAAAAATCGAAAAATTCAAGATTTGAAAAATTTGAAAATTAAGATATCCAAAAATTGACAAATCGAGAAGTCGAACAATGAAAAAATTAATAAAACAGAAGTGACGAAAAATTGGAAAATCGAAAAATTGAAAAATCGAAACATCTAAAAATTGAACAATCGAAAAATCGAAAAGTATATAATTGACAAATTGCAAATTAAATATATAAAAAAATAAAAATAGAAAAATTTTAAGTTAAAAAGATCGATAAATCCAGAAATCGAAAAACCAAGAAAATTTTAAAAATTGAAAAATGAAAAAATTTTAAAGCGAGAAGTCAAAATCAAAACATCGAGAAAACGAAACACCAAAAAATTGAAAAAATCAAAATTCATAAATTCGAAAAATTATAAAATTGAAATAGAATATCGATCAACTGAAAATGGAAAAATCGAGAAATCGAAAAATCTGTCATTTTAAAATTTGAAAAATTAAAATATCGAAAAGCTTAAGAATCTAAAAAAAGAAAAATCGCGAAATCTAAATATCAAAAAATCGAAAAACTGAAAAATCTAAAAAGTAATAAATCGAAAAATCAAAAACCTGAAAAATTTAAAAATCAGCCAATCGGGAAATTGAAACATTGAAAAGTCAAAAAATCGAAAAAAACATAAAAATTGAAAAAATTTTAAATTAAAAAACTCGATAAATAGAAAAATAAAAAAATCGTGGAATTGAAAAATTAGAAGACCATAGTATAGAGATCTCGATAAATTCAATCTCGAAGTTCTCTAGTTTACCTGCAGAGGGCGTTAGAAACCACTAACAACTACACAATCAACTTACTCTTCTTTCCGTGCTCATTCAATTCGGCTATCACGACTCGCTCCACATCAGGACTTTGACACAAATCCTCGAAGGATAAATCCCCGATTCCCTTTTTGATCGCCAGGTCCTTGAGCTGCTGCTGGTTGGCCACTACCAGCGCTACACAGAACTGCTTCGTGGAGTCGCCGTAGACGCAGATGTTGTCGATGAGAGGACACGTCTTCAGCTGCGCCTCCACCTTGCCTAAACTCACGTACTCGCCGGCTTGCAGTTTCACCAGGTCCTTCTTGCGATCTAAAACTACCGGTTGAAACACGGCGAAAACTACGGTCGGTGTATTTACCGATGATCTTGACGACGCCGTCCGTGTGTACTTCCCCGATGTCCCCGGTTCTGAACCACCTCCGCCCGTCGGCCTCCATGAAATCTTCGTCTGTTTTGTCGGCCAATTTGTAATAGCCTGCACTTATGTTATCACCACCTAAAATTACTTCTCCTCGTGGATAGGGCTTATCTGTGACTCTGTAATGTCCTTCTTCCCAATTAACTAACTTAATATCACATACGGTAGTGGGAGCACCCACTCGGCCATACACCTTATCGTAAACTGGAAAAAAGTGCGTTATTCGAGTTTGCGGAAGTGGGTGGTTAGTTACAATCTTGGACTGTTGCACATGAAGTTGACTCGGTCAAGCCGTAGCCCTGAATCACGGTGGCACAGAGACAAGCGTTCATTTGTTCGTGCGTTTCCGGAGACAGGGGGGCGCCGCCTGAGAGGATGAGACGCATGCTGCCGCCGAGGATGCCGCGGATTGGTCCAAAAACGACCCTACACAAGACAAAGTTAGGACAAAATAAATCATCTCGGGCTGACTTCGGACTACCGGTATTTCCGTAGTCGGGCACCAGTTTTTTTCAAATGCAGGTTATTCTGAAGTCTTTTTTTGACTAAATTACGTCTGGCTTAAAACGATACACAAAAAAAGCATGTGATAAAAATTGAAACAAAATTTTTTTTATCAGAACCCGTCTTTTCAAATTGCGAAATTAAAAATCGAAAAATTGAAAAATCAAGAAATTGAAAATTTGGAAAAATGAAACCAAAAATGTGACTCATGGAAAAAATCGGGAAATATAAAAGTTGAATTGAATAACTGGATAATCGACAAAGTGAAATTCGAGTACTCGAAAAATTGAAAAATCGAAAAATCCAAAAAGTTAAAATGAATAATTCAAATAATTCTAAGAACTAAAAATCGAAGAATCGAAAAACTAAAAAATCCAAATTGAGAAATCAGAACTTCACGGGTTTTCTAAATTCTTGAAATTCTGCAAAGTTGGGAACTTTAAAAATCGAAAATGAGACCAAAAATTATAAAAATAAAAAACTCAAAACTGAAAAAATTCCAAAAATTTAAAAACAGAAAAGTTTAGCAATCGAAAAAATTAAAGAATCGAAAAACCAGAAATTTTGATCGAAAAATTAGGATACTAAAAAACTTGGAAATTGAGTTGATAATATGAAAACTGAAAAATGGGAAAATTGAAAAATTTAAAATTACAAAAACTGAAAAATTTAATTAAGAAATGGACCAATCGAAAAACCAGAAATTCAGCGGTTTTCGAAATACATACTTCGAAATTCAGCAAAATTTAAAATTGAGAAATTAAAAATCGGAAAATTGAAAAATCAAACAATTGAAAATTTGAAAAAATGAAACCGAAAATTATAAAAATCAAAAACTGAGAAACCGGAAATGACTCATGGAAAAAATGAAAAATCGGGAAATATGAAAGTCGAACAATCGAATAACTGAATAATCGACAAGTTAAAAAAAAAAGTAATCGAAAAATTGAAAAATCGAAAAATCAGATTTTTTCGAAATGTTTAAAATTTTGATTCAAACCTTGAGAAGGAACTGTGAAATTGAGAACTTGGAAATCGAAAAATCTGAAAAATTAAAATAAAAAATTTAAAAACTGAAATAGTGAAAATTCTAAGAATTAAAAATCGAACAATCGAAAAACTGAAAAAAAATCTAAATTGAAAAATTAAAAATTGAAGGGTTTTCAAAATTCTTGAAATTTTGCAAAATGGGAAACTTCAAAAATCGAAAATGAGATCGGAACTTATAAAAATTAAAAAATCGAAAGATTGAAATAAGGAAAAATAAAAAAATTGAAAAATATGGAAACCCAAAAATTACAAAATTATAACCCTGAAAAATCGAAAAATTGGAAAAATGAACAATGGAAAAATCGCAAATTATAAAAATAAAAAACTCGAAAAACTGAAATACGAAAAATTCAAAAAATTTAAAAGCAGAAAAGTTTAGCAATCGAAAAAACTAAAGAATCGAAAACTCAAAAAATAGAAAAACCAGAAATTTTGGTCGAAAAATTAAGATATCAAAAAACTTGGAAATTGGGACATTGAGTTAATAATTTGAAAACTGAAAAATTGAAAAAGCCAAAAATCAGAATTTTTTTTCGAAATGTGTAAAATTGAAATAGGGAAAATTCTAAGAATCAAAAATCGAATAATCGAAAAACTTAAAATTTAAACTGAAAATCAATTAATCGAAAAATCAGAAATTGAAAAGTTTTCGAACTTCTCGAAATTTCGCAAAATTGAAAAATTGTAAACCTGAAAAATCGAAAACTTGGAAAAATGAAAAATGGAGAAATCGACAATTATAAAATTAAAAAACTCAAAAAACTGAAAAACGAAAAATTTTAAAAATCGAAAAAACAGAAATTTTGATCGAAAAATTAAGATATTAAAAAACTTAAAAACTGGGACATGGAGTTGATAATTTGAAAACTGAAAAATCGGAAAATTGAAAAATTTAAAATTACAAAAACTGAAAAATTTAATTAAGAAATGGACTAATCGAAAAATCAGAATTCAACGATGTACGAAATACAAATTTTGAAATTTTGCAAAATTTAAAAAATTGAAAAATCAAGAAACTGAAAATTTGGAAAAATGAAACCGAAAATTATAAAAATCAGAAATTGAGAAACCAGAAAAGTGACTATGGAAAAGTGAAAAATCGGGAAATATAAAAGTTGAACAATCGAATAACTGGATAATCGACAAAGTGAAATTCGAGTAATCAAAAAATTGAAAAATCGAATTTTTTTTTTCCCAATGTTTAAAATTTTGATCGAAACTGAGAGAAGAAACTGCGAAATTGAGAACTTGGAATCGAAAAATTCGAAAAATTAAAATTAAAAATACAAAAACTGAAATAGGAGGAATTCTAAGAATCGAACAACTGAAAAATCTAAATTGAAAAATCAAAAATTGAAGGGTTTTCGAAATTCTTGAAATTTTGCAGAATCTGAAATTTCAAAAATCGAAAATGAGATCGAAAACTATAAAAATTAAAAAATCAAAAAACTGAAATACGGAAAAATTAAAAATTGAAAAATGAACAATGCAAAAATTGAAAATTACAAAAATAAAAAACTCAAAAAAATGAAATACGAAAAATTCAAAAAATTTAAAAAACAGAAATTTTGATCGAAAAATTAAGATATTAAAAAACTTTGATATTGGGACACAGCTGAGACTTTGAAAACTGAAAAATCGGAAAACTGAAAAATTTAAAATTACAAAAACTGAAAAATTTAATTAAGAAATGGACTAATCGAAAAATCAGAAATTCAACGGTGTTCGAAATACAAACTTCGAAATTTTGCAAAATTTAAAAAATTGAAAATTTGGAAAAATGAAACCGAAAATTATAAAAATCAAAAATTGAGCTACCGGAAAAGTGACTCATGGAAAAAATGAAAAATCGGAAAATATAAATGTTGAACAATCGAATAACTAGATAATCGACAAAGTGAAATTCGAGTAATAGAAAAATTGAAAAATCGAAAAATCCGATTTTTTTTTTCAAAATGTTTAAAATTTTGATCGAAACTTTGAAAATAAACTGCGAAATTGAGACTTGGCAATCGAAAAATCCGAAAAACTAAAATAAAAAATTCAAAAACTGAAATAGGGAAAATTCTAAGAATTAAAAATCGAAGAATCGAAAAAATGAAAAATCTAAATTGAAAAATCAGAAATTGAAGGGCTTTCGAAATTGAAAATTTGGAAAAATGAAACCGAAAATTATAAAAATCAGAAATTGAGAAACCGAAAAAGTGACTATGGAAAAATGAAAAATCGGGAAATATAAAAGTTGGACAATCGAATAACTGGATAATCGACAAAGTGAAATTCGAGTAATCAAAAAAATTGAAAAATCGATTTTTTTTCGAAATGTTTAAAATTTTGATCGAAACTTTGAGAAAAACTGCAAAATTGAGAATTTGGTAATCGAAAAATCCGAAAAATTACAATAAAAAATTCAAAAATTGAAATAGGAGAAATTCTAAGAAACGAAAAACTGAAAAATCTAAATTGAAAAATCAAAAATTAAAGGGGTTTCGAAATTCTTGAAATTTTGCAAAATCAGAAACTTCAAAAATCGAAAATGAGATCGAAAACGATAAAAATTAAAAAATCGAAAAATTGAAATACGGAAAAATCAAAAATTCAAAAACAGAAATTTAGATCGAAAAATTAAGATATTAAAAAACTTAGAAATTGGGACATTGAGTTGATTATTTGAAAACTGAAAAATCGGAAAACTGAAAAATTTTAAATTAAAAAACTGAAAATTTTAATTAAGAAATGGACTAATCGAAAAATCAGAAATTCAGCCGTTTTCGAAAAACACCTCCAAATTTTGAAAAATTTAAAATTTAAAAATTTAAAAATCAAGAAATCGAAAATTTAAAAAAATGAAACCGAAAATTATTAAAATCAAAAATTGAAAAACCGGAAAAGTGACTCATGGAAAAACGAAAAATCGGGAAATATAAAAGTTGAAAAATCGAAAAATCGGATTTTTTTCGAAATGTTTAAAATTTTGATCAAAACTGAGAAAAAACTGCAAAATTGAGAAAATGGAAATCGAAAAATCCGAAAAATTAAAATAAAAAATTCAAAAACTGAAATAGGGAAAATTCTAATTAAAAATCGAAGAATCGAAAAACTGAAAAATTTAAATCGAAAAATCGAAATTGAAGGGTTTTCGAAATTCTTGAAATTTTGCAAAATTGGAAACTTCAAAAATCGAAAATGTAATCGAAAATTATAAAAATAAAAAAATCGAAAAATTGAGATAAGGAAAAATAAAAAAATTGAAAAATACGGAAACCCAAAAATTGCAAAATTGTAAACCTTAAAAATCGAAAAATTGGAAAAATGAAGAAATCGACAATTATGAAAAAAAAAACTCAAAAAACTGAAATTGGAAAAATTCAAAAATTTAAAAAGAGAAAATTTTAGCAATCGAAAAAATTGAAGAATCTAAAACTCAAAAAATCGAAAAACTAGAAATTTTGATCGAAAAATTAAGACATTAAAAAACTTAGAAACTGGAACATTTAATTGATAATAATTTGAAAACTGAAAAATGGGAAAAATGAGAATCTAACAAATCAAGAAATCGGAAAATTGAAAAGTCGGCAAATCGAGAAAGTGAAAAATCGATAAGAATAACAATAATAAAATAGCAAAAGTATAAAATTGAAAAAATGAAAAATCAAAAATTATGAAAATAAATGAAAGAAATGAAAATTGTAAAACTTAAAAAACGAAACCCAACAATACTGGGAAATCGAAAAATAGACTCACTGAAAAAATGAAAAATCGAAAAATGGAATAGTTTTCGAAATATGCAAAATTTTTATAGAAAAATTAAGCGATTATGTAATTTCGAAACTGGAAAATAAAAACTGATAAATCGAACCATCAAAATAAAAAAAAGCGCTCTTTTTTCGAATTTTTTAACTAACGAACGACGATTCGTAGACTCTGAATAATGTGTTTCTTAAAAAAAAACTGGTGCCCGACTCCGTCGTGAAAACAGAAATGACGATTTCCGCGACCAAGCCACTAACCTGTCGATAAGCGGCGTCGAGTATCCCCTCCTCATCCAACTGACTTTATAATCGTAGGCAAACTTGAACAACACCTTCTTCGCCGTACCACTCTTGCTCACCTTCTCCTGCACGTTCTTCGATATCCTATCCAAAATCAACTAAAAACGCAAAATCAACCCCGACTTCAACCCTTCCACTCCACTTACCGGCACACTCGTCATGCAAGTCGGGTGCAAAACCGTAGCATCCCCTTTCGTCCCCTTCTTGATCTTACTCGCCGCGTCGATCATCGTCAGCGCGCTCGAATACCCTATGGGAACCCCCGTCAAGGCGCACACGCTCTCCACCAGCAACTCATAGACGTGCGCCAGCGGCAGGAACCCGATCATCACATCCGTCTCGTAAATATCAGTGGAATCACAGAACGCTTTCAACGTAGCAATCAGATTCTTGTGCTTCAGCATCACGCCTTTGGGGATGCCCGTCGAGCCGCTCGTGTACATGATGATGGCGACGTCGTCGGCTTTCGGCGGCACGTCAACTGGAAAAAACAATCAGCGACCTTCTAAGTATGTCGTCCAGGTGCGACTTACCGATCCTTGAGGTGGCCCCCTTCTTCAGAACTTCGCTGAACTTGATGACTTCGATCCCCGACTTGTAGCCCCCCTCGTCTAGGGTTTTCAGCTGGTCTTCCATGTAGATGAGGGTCTTGACGGTGGGCACCATCGCCAGGATTTTTTTAAACTTCGGCATGAGCTCGTAGCTGGTGATGACCGTGGTGACTTCCGTTTCGTTCAAGCCGTGCGCTATGGCGTCGTCTCCTAGGGTCGCGTAGATCGTGACCAGAGGGATGCTTTGTTTGAAGAGACCGTGGGCCGCGATCATCCACTCGGCTCGCGTTTCGGCGAAGATCGCCACGTTCTCGCCGGGGTCGTTGCCGAGCTCGCGGATTCCCCGGCCGAAGTTCTCGGCGAGGGCGTTCACTTCGGAGAAGGTCTTCCATCGGTACGCACCCAGGTTGTACTGTTGGTGTCGCGGGTGTTACTACTAGTGATTTTCAATTGTTTTTAGACGGGTTACCTTCTTGAAGACGCGCCCGTTGGGTTGGACTTCGTCCTCTTCGGCTATTATCTCTCGCGTTCCTAGGAATCGCTTGTTCGGGTATTTGCGACTCACGTACTCGAACATCTTGGCCATGGTGTCGATTTTTTCCTTGACGAGAGTGACATGGACAGGTCCTGGTTCGGTGGTGGATCGGTAGGTGATGCTCGTCGTGTCCTTGGTGATGGGTTTGGCCTAAGGTCGAAACGTCGCGTTAGATAGTGCGGGGGGAATTCGTACCAGCAGAGCGTACTTTTACATTTTTTGTTGTCACGTTCTGCTTGACTTGGATTAACTTATACACAGTAGGGGATTAATGGCGTGATTGTGAATTAGTTGTTATTAAAAACTAACCGCAGGCATATTATTATTTATAAAAAAAAAATATCTCAAGAAGTAGAAGCAAACAATTGCGACAGCAGCGTTTCCATCATGCAAATTTATCGCTAATTAAAGTAGTAAGAACGTGCATTAAAATCCATTAGAATGTAATTTATAGAAGGGGTACTACAATCTCTACAGGTGTATAGTTAGTGTTAATTGGGATAATATGCACAAGTGCGTCAGTGGAGGATTTCGAAACAATGAAATCATAATTTTCCAACGGGACAAAGACTAAATCGCAGAATTACGCCGCCACCACTACGTCTCGCTCGCCCCGCGCCTTCTAAATTACGATTTCACTCGACTCCACCGCACTCGTTTCCAACCACTCGTTTTAGAGAACGCAAACCCACCCTAGAACCATCTCTGGGCCAATTCGTCCTGTACACTTAAAAAAAACCACCTCGCCCCAGCCTATATAAAAAATCCGCCAATTCTTATTATACCTTGTACAGTTTAGATGGTCGTTCGGTTGAGTTGTTAGTAATATCGTTTCCTTTCATATCAATGCTTACATCTGCCTTTGGCTGATCGCTCTCAATGGCAATAATAACGCCCTATAAACAATCATCATTATCGTACGAACAAATCCCGAACGCACACACGAGTTTCGCGTTCTAGTAACGGAAACTCGACAAACATGATAAATAATACAGACAACACTAAAATAAGCTCGAAGAGTGACGCTGGAAAAAATCATAACTGATGGTTCGGTCTAAGCGTCATGCACATGACATGTACAGAATGCTGTGTGATTTTTTTTCGGTGGGTGACGGATCGGTGTGAACTGACCTTAACTCTTCTCGAGAGGGAGCGGGCTCGCCAGGGCCTTTGGAGCATGACGTAAACGGGGAACGTGAGGACGTCGTACACGAAGGCCAGGGCCTTGAGGGCCCCGATGGCCAGCGTGATGCCAACCCCATCCATGTCCCTGGAAAAAAATTAAGTGTTAGAGCGGTTTCCGGGTGACGCATGCACAGGCACACATGCACGTTATCGCCACAAGCGTGAGTTAAATGTGGGGAGTATTGGAGCTTATCGATGAGTGGTCGTGAGTCAAGTCGAAAAATGGTTTTTGAGATAAATGAGGTAGAATGTTGTTTCCTATTTGCAATGGAAGTTTATGATTTTCCACGATACGCGTCCACTAATGAAACTATTAAAAATTGAAAATAACGATTATGGTTAAGAGAACAATAACTTGAAAACAATGGTTTGTGTTTGAATTATGACTTTATGTGGTTTAATTATTATTAATTGCGTGTTTTCTGCGTCATTACTGTGGTATTTTTACCGAATATACCAATAGTACAAAAATGCAAGTCTTCTGAGATATATTTCTAATTTTTTCTTGCAATAATCCAAAATTCAAAAAATTACAATTTTGGTTTTGGAAAACTTGTCTAAAAATCCTCAAAAAATTCTGGGATATAGATTTCGACGTGCTGATTCCAAAAATTCAGCGTGTTTACAGTCCCGAGCAAAGATTTTTAAAATATTTGGTTTGAAATCCAAAAACTCATATTTCAACTGGCGATTCTGGAAGGTCGAAATGTACAAGAAAATGTCTTTAGATAAGTTTCAAAAGTAAAATTTTGGTTTTGAAAAAGTCGCCCCAGACTTCAAAAAATTCTACGACACAATTTCAACTTGTCGATTCCAAAAATATATATTTTTTTTTTATCCTAGGAAATGTTTTTAGAGATATTCTGTCTGAAATGCCATTAAAGAAAAAATTCAAAAAACTGTCATTTCAAATTTTCGTAAAATTTTGGGTTTGAAAAAGCTGCACAAAAAAATTCTGGTAGATAGATTTCGATGTGCTGATTCCAAAAATATATCATTTTTATGGTCACAGGGCAAGATTTTAGAAATATTCGGTTTGAAATGCATTTTTTTTTATTAATCCAAAGAAAATTGTGATATTTCAATGGGCGATTCTGGAGAAATGGTAAGAATTATGGAGGAAATATGGCTAAAAGTAACTTGTAGAGATGGAAATGTACAAGAAACTGCTTCAGTTTCGAAAATGGTTGGAAAATTCCGAAATTTTCATAAATTATAGTTTTAAAAAAATTATCTAAAAATAATTCGGGAATGTAGATTTCGACCTGCTGATTTCGAAAATATTGCGGTTTTATATTCTCGGGGCAGGATTTTAGAAATGCAATTTTTTGAAAAAAATTAGAGAGGTGATCGAAAATTTCTGAAATTTTCCTAAAATTTTGGTTTTAAAAAAGTAATCTACAATATTTTCTTAATTCAATGGGTAATTCTGGAAAAATATTGAGTTATCGAAGGAGGCCCAGAAAATTTCTAGAGGTCAAAATGTACAAGAACTAATTAACTTTAGAAGAATTTGGAAATTTCCATAAATTTTTTTTTTTTGAAAAATTGTCTAAAAATTTAGGGATGAAGATTTCGACATGCTAATTTTCGAAAATATTGCGTTTTAATGTTCTCCGAGCAGGATTTTAGAAATACAATAAAAAAAAAAATTAGTGAGGTGATCGGAAAAAACTAATATTTTCATAAAATTTTGGCTTTGAAAAAGTTAATCCAAAAATCCTCGAAAACTTCTGGAGTAATCCAAAAAATTGTCTTATTTCAATGCAATTCTGGAAAAAAAAAATTGAGTTATCGAAGAAATGAGGCCGAAAAAACTTCTGGTGGTCAAAATGTACAAGAAAATTCTGGAGTACAGATGTCGATGTGATAATTCTAAAAATATAGCGTCTTTATCATCCCGGAGCAAGATTTTAGAAATATTCGGTTTGAAATCCACTTTTTTTTTAATCCAAAAAATTGTTTTATTTCAAAGGGGAATTTTGGAAAAATTGTTCGGAGTTACTAAAGAAATGAGGCCGAAAAAACTTCTGGAGGTCGAAATATACAAGAAAATGTTTTTAGTTTAAAGGTTGGAAATTTTCATAAACTTTCGGTTTTGAAAAAATTGTCTAAAAATTCTAGGATGTAGATTTCGACTTGCTAATTTTCGAAAATATTGCGTTTTTATGTTCTCGACGCAGGATTTTAGAAATGTAATATTTAAAAAAAATTTAGTGTGGTGTTTGAACAATTCTCAAATTTTCATAAAATTTTGATTTTGAAAAAGTAATCCTAAAAATTGTCTTATTTCAGTGCACTTCTGGAAAAAAAATTGAGTTATCGAAGAAATAGGGCCGAAAAAACTTCTGGAGGTCAAAATGTACAAGAAAATGTTTTTAGTTAAGTTTAGAAGAGGGTAAAAAAATCTGGAAATTTTCATAAAATTTTGGCTTTGAAAAAGTTATCCAAAAATCCTCGAAAAATTCTGAAGTAAATTTCGACGTGACAATTCTAAAAATCTTAATCATTCCGAAAATGTTTTTAATTTGGTTTAGAAGATTGTCGGAAAACGGAAAATTCCAAAACTTTCATAAAATTTTGGTTTTAAAAAAGTTGTCCAAAAATTCTCAAAAAATTCTGGAGTACAGATGTCGATGTGATAATTCTAAAAATATAGCGTCTTTTTCATCCCGGAGCAAGCTTTAGAAATATTCGGTTTGAAATGTATTTATTTTTAATCCCAAAAATGGTCTTATTTCAATGGGCAATTTTTGAAAAATGTCCGGAGTTACCGAAAAAATGAGGCCGAAAGAACTTCTGGAAGTCGAAATATACAAGAAAATGTTTTTAGTTTTAAGGTTAGAAATTTTCATAAACTTTCGGTTTTGGAAAAATTGTCTAAAAATTCTGGGATGTAGATTTCGAATTGCTGATTTTCGAAAATATTGCGTTTTTATGTTCTCGAAGCAGGATTTTAGAAATGCAATTTAAAAAAAAAAATTAGTGTGGTGTTCGAAGAATTCTCAAATTTTCATAAAATTTTTATTTTGAAAAAATTATTCACAAAATTGTCTTATTTAAATGCAATTTTGGAAAAAAAATTTAGTTATCGAAGAAATGGAGCCGAAAAAACTTCTGGTGGTCAAAATGTACAAGAAAATGTTTTTAATTGACTTTAGAAGAGGGTAAAAAAATTTGGAAATTTTCATAAAATTTTGGTTTTGAAAAAGTAATCCAAAATATTTTCTTTGTTCAATGGGCAATTCTAGAAAAATATTCAGTTATCGAAGAAATGAGGTCGAAAAAACTTCTGGGGTTAAAAAGGACAAGAAAATGTTTTTTAGTTAAGTTTAGAAGAGGGTCAAAAAATTTGGAAATTCTCATAAAATTTTGGTTTTGAAAAAATTGTCTAAAAATTTAGGGATGCAGATTTCGACGTGCTGGTTTTCGAAAATATTGCGTTTTTATGATCTCCAAGCAGGATTTTAGAAATGCAATTTTTAAAAAAAATTAGTGTGGTGTTCGAAGAATTCTCAAATTTTCATAAAATTTTGATTTGGAAAAAGTAATCCAAAAAATTGGCTTATTTAAATGCAATTCTGGAAAAAAATTGAGTTATCGAAGAAATGGGGCCGAAAAAACTTCTGGAGGTCAAATGTATAAGAAAATGTTTTTAGTTAAGTTTGGACGATCCAAAAAATTGTCTTATTTCAATAGGCAATTCTGGAAAAATTTTGAGAGTTGTTGAAGAAATGAGATCGGAAATTTTCATAAAATTTTGGTTTTGAAAAAATTGTCTACAAATTTTGGAATGTAGATTTCGACGTGCTGATTTTCGAAAATATTGCGTTTTTGATGTTCTCGGGGCAGGATTTTAGAAATGCAATTAAAAAAAAATTAGTGAGGTAATCGGAAAATTCTGAAATTTTCATAAAATTTTGGTTTTGAAAAAGTTCTCTAAAAATCCTCAAAAAATTCTAAAATGCAGATTTCGACAAAATGATTCTAAAAATATAGCGTCTTTTTCATCCCGAAGTAAGATTTTAAAAATATTCTGAAATGTATGTTTTTTTAATCCAAAAATTGTTTTAGAAATGTAATCTTTTAAAAAAATTTAGTGAAGCGATCGGAAATTCTGAAATTTTCATAAAACTTTGGTTTTGAAAAAATTGTCTAAAACTGCAGATTTCGACGTGTTGATTTTCAAAAATTGAAAAAATCAAAAAACAAAAAGTCAAAACTAAAAAAAATAAAATCGAACTAATAAATCGAAAAATTTATTAAACGAACAGGTCCAAAAGAAAAAAATTAAAACGAATCATCTAAAATCGGAAAAACAAAAAATGCAAAATTGAAAAATCGAAAAATTAAAAATCAAAAGGCTGAAAAATTAATAATCGAGAAATTGAAGTCAAAAATTGAAAAAATTAAAAACTAAAAAAAAATTCAAAATATTAGAAATATTGCAAAATTGAAACAAAAAAGTTAATGAACGTGTCGAAAAATTGAAAAATTGTAGAAACGGCAAACTGAAAATGGAAAAACTGAAGGAAGGAAAAATAAAAACATCTAAACCTTGGGAAGTGTAAAAATTATAAAACAGGAAAATTGAAATCGTAAAATTGAACAACTGGAAAATTCAGAGTTGAAATAAAACAAATACCGAAAAAAAGCAAAAAAACCTGAAAAGTCAAAACAATGTAAAATTGAAATATTGAAAAAGCAAAAAATTGGAAGATCCAAAAGTTGAAAAATCAAAAAATTGTAAAATTTAAAAAATACACATTGAAAAATGAAAAAACTGAAAAAATGAAAATATTTAAAAACCGAAAAATCGAATAAAAAATTAAATAATCAAAAATTAAAAATTACGAAAGTAAAAAATTCCAAACACGGAATAATTGAAAAATCGGAGAACAACAAAATTGGTAAGTCTTTAAAAACAAAAAACTAGAAATCGAACAATCGAAAAACGTAAATTTTAAAAGAAAAAGCTCGGTGAGTAAAAATTATTATGGAAGAAATGAATTCGAAAATAGCTTCTGGAGCTTGAAATGTACAAGAAATGTGTTTGTTGAAGTTTCGAAGTAAAAATTCTGAAATTTTCATAAAATTTTGGTTTTGAAAAAGTTATCTGAAAATACTCAAAAAATTCTGGGATACAGATTTCAACATGCTGCTTTTAATCCAAAAAAACTGTCATATTTCAACGGACAATTTTGGAAAAATGGTGGTAGTCATCAAAGAAATGTGGCCAAAAATAACTTCTGCAGGTCGAAATGTACAAGAAAATATCTTTAGTCAAGTTTGGCAGGTGATCCGAAAATTCCGAAATTTTCATAAACTCTTTCACTTTGAAAAAGTCGTCTAAAAATCCCCAAAAAATTCTAATACATACGATTTCGACGTGCTGATTCCAAAAATATATTGTTTCATGGTCCAGGGGCAAGATTTTAGAAATAATTAGTTTGAAATGCAATGTTTTTTGTTATCACTACACATTTAGTTGTTACAACTATTTTCACCGATAATGGATAAAAATAAATCCTTTTCAAGTATTGGAGGACTTTCAAAAATGCTTTATCTTATTATCGCTTAAATCGGGTCATCTCAGGATGCTTTCTTTTTTCCGACAATAAAATTTGTGTTCCTTTGTTTGAATTTTCCTCTGTATTGCCAAATCTTAAAACATTATTCTCGGCATTGCTACATTTTGGCGCCTTCATAATTCTTAATTTGGTTGTTGCCCAGCCTTGCTTGCCGAAAATGCAGCCGTGCAAGCCACACTTAACGCAAATTCTGCCGATTCAGCTTAGTTGACTTGTTATTATGTAACGACACATTAAGTCAATTAGGCATAAATAAATAAACACACACAAATAAATAAAGGAAAAAATAGAGGTCCGACGGTCAAGACCGTCAATTGCATGCTTGACACAGCACAACGCGTAATAACCCACAAAACACGAAACAATTACGCAAAACAAATCCAATTTCTATTGTTCCGCCGAAAGTCCTCGAGACTCCGTAAAAACAAAATCCGATAACCGACCCCTTATCTTACAAAAACTCTGCACGCGCTCGCCAAACAATAAAAATGAACAACTTACGCATATTTAAATTTTTCCAAAACCGTCAAAATCATGTTTGCAATTTTTCCGAAACGTGATGACTGAAAGTCCCTTTATCTCTGATTCGTTAACATTTTCCTAACTGATGAATTTAGACCATTGTAGAGGTTAATGTGGATGAGTGACGTTCGAGTGACATCCACCGATAAACTGATCCCACAAAAAATACTAACCCTAAATACATGTCCGATTTTCTCCTCCAAAGCCTCGAGCAAAAAATACCTGAAAAGCACCACCTCACCGGTCGACACTTCTTAAACAAATGAGCGAGTGGGACTAAGCGATAAATCGAACTCACGATAACGATGATATTGACCCGACAGACACACCGTGCTGGAGTTTGATTATAGGAGTACAAAAGTTCTTGGTTTTTATCTCGACCCCTCCTCTCTAAAAAACTACAGATAACGTCGACACTTTGACCTGGTCCCTTCTGAAGCGGCTTCTGGAAAGCAAGCATGAGGCGAAGACATGCTGGATCAGGACATGTGGTCGGAGTCCCGTTCTTATCGGGTGGCGAAAGGTCAGATTGGAAATTTTCGTCTACACGGATCGGGGATGTTTGTGTAATCACAAACGGATATGTGATTATCGTCGGTGGGTTATTATTTTCAAGGACTAAAAAAATTATTATAATTCGAGGGAACGTAATAAAATAAATAGTGCGATTGTTGACGCCGATGGAAATTATGGAAGTATTTTTAGAGACAATGGAGTGGTGCCACTCGATTTTTATATTTACCTGAATTATGTGAAAGTTGATGAGGAGTCGTCATTTCTGTGATTGAAATGCCATACATTATTGCACTGAGTGTCATTGTATGATAATCAAACAATTAGTGCGAGAGTGTTTAAATAAAAAATTAATACGGGTGAGAATATATTAATTTTGAAACAAAACAAAAATAGATATCTGGTACGCGTGTTATCGTTCATTTTACCAAGTATTTATGATTAAGCTTTAACTTTTATTGGAAGGATCCAATCTATGACGTTAAACGCGAAGTTAGTGACACTTAAAGCCCTTAAAAATTATTGTCAAGAGTAGGTGACTGATAACGTGATAGCACCACCCGGAAACCCGTGATAATTTTTCTCATTCTTTCGTGTAGTTTTAGCATTGGGTTTAAGTGGCAGTTAGTGAAACATAGTACAGGAGATAATTAAATTTTTATAACCTCCACACTACGAACTTTGTACTGAATGGTTATTAAGGCGGTGCAAGGTGCACACAAATATGTATTTGGTTTGGGAACTGATATTAGAAACATTATTGTTAATGAAAGCTTGACGTACAAGGACGACATGAGTTCACACTATTACAATCTATGAAGATTGTGTGAAACCAACTATATATTTTTGTGTTTTTTAGTATTTAGTCAGTAAAGTCGCGGCAGTTTGGTTTTATTTGCTGTCGTTATGCCGTGATGTAATCACGAAATTCACTTATTCTAAACACTTGTGATAAAATATAATCAACCGAGATAGCGTTTCGTAATACATATTTAAAATGTTGGGATTCAACTGAATTGTCACTGTTGCAAAAATATCCTGTGTATCTTATCTATTAGCGTTTACTGGCATTGAAGTATGAGTTAGGTAAAACTGTGTTCTATAATTTGATAGGTTAGGAATTTTGAACACGGGAATTAATTCTCCGATTTAAAAAAACAACACCCTGTATATGTTCAAGTGATAATTTATTGAAAGCCGTGTTATGGCACACCCGTTTTAGTTTAAATATATTCGGGCGAAACAAACAAAAAACAGTACTTGTTAGAACGATCGTTTTTGATTGAATATCTCGTATTTTTGGGGAGTTTTGGGCATCGAAAAATTAAAAAAAATCGAAAATTGAAAAATCGAAAAATTTGCGGACGAAAAATGAACCCTAGAAACTGAAAATCGAAAAAGTTGTAAAATGGATTAATTGAAAAATGGAACTTGAAAAAGAAAAATATCTAGATATTGAAAAATCGAAAATTTAAAGGTCAAAAATCGAAAAATTGAATGATTTTTAACTGACGACTCGAGAAAATCGAGAATCTGAAAAATCAACGTATTAAAGGATTGAAATTATAAAACTGGAAAAGTTGCAAATCGAAAATTTGAATACATATTCAAAAAATTTTAAAACGAAAAATTGTTAATTGAATAAATGCCGAAACGAAAGATCGAAAAATTTAACATTGGCGACTCGAAAAACTGATAAATCGAAAATATAAATTCGGGAAACTGAGAAATAAGGTGGAAAATTAAAAATCAGAAAACTGAAAATTGAAAAATTGCAAATCGATTAATTGAACAAACAAAAAACTGTAAAATAGAATAATTGAAAAATGGAAAAATTGCTAAATCGCAAAATAAAAATATCTAGAATTTACGAGATCGAAGAACTGCAAATTAAATAACCACCGAAAAAATGAAAAACTGAAAATCGAAAAATCAAAAAATCACAAATTGATAATTCGAAAAATTTTACAAAAGAAAAATAAACTCTAGAAATTGAAAAAGATCTAGAAATACAGAAATCGAAACTTCCAAATCAAATAATTGAGCAAAGAAAAAATCGAAAAATTTAAAAATGGGGAAATCTAAAATCGAATAATGAAATCTAGAAAATAAAAAATCGAAAACTTGTGAAATCGAAAACATAAAATCGAGAAACTGAAAAATTTACGACTTGAAAAGCGTAAAATTAAAAAATTGTACAATGTACTAACAGAAATTCGAAAAATTTTAAAAAGAAAAACCAAGGCATCTAGAATATGAAAAATCGGAAAACTTCAAAAACATTAAAAGATCGATAATAAAAAATCGAGAAACTGAAAAAGCTGAAAAATTTAATTGGAAGATGGGAAATTAAAATATCGAAAAATAGAAAATTGAAAAATTAGAAAACCGAAAAATGGGGAAATTTAAAAATGAAAAATAATCTCTAGAAATTGAAAACTCAAAAAATTGCAAATCGAAAGTCTGAAGTTATAAAAAATTTAAAAACGAAAAATTTACAAACGAAAAATAAAATCTAGAAATTGGAAAATCGAAAACAATATCGAGAAACTGAAAAAGTTACGACATGTGACGTAGAATTAAAAATCGAAAAATTTTATTTATTTTTTATTTAAATGAATGGAGGATATTAACCTTTAAACACTCAATTACAAACATATTAATTAAATTGTGAACAGAAAAATCGAAAAGTGAAAAAATCGAGAAACTGAAAAAATGAAAAATCAAAAAATTTAGAAACGAAAAATAAAACCCAGAAACTGAAAAAACAAAAAAAATTACAATCGAATGGTTTTTTGATTTCTCGCTTTTTTATTTTTTCGTTTTGTTTCGATTTCGATTTTTCAGTTCTTCAATTTTTCGATTTTTTACTTTTAGAACTTGCGATTTCTCGATATTTTTATTTTTTGGTTTGTCTATTTTCCGATATTTCAGTTTTACGGTCATTCAGCTTTCCGATTTTTCAATATTTGGCATTTCTAAATTTTCGATTTTTTGATTTTTCGAGTTATCGATTTTATGCCTTTTCGACTTTTAGATTTTTCGATATTTTGATTTTTTTTTATTCAATTCTTCAATTTTTCGATGTTTAGGTTTTTGATTTTTCAATTTTTGGACATTTTGGTTTTTCGATGTTTCAGTTTTGGTATTTTTCGATCCTTGAATTTTTTGATATTGTAATTTTTTGATTTCTTAAATTTTAGATTTTTCGATTTCTCGTTTTCTTGATTTTTCAATTTTTTTTAACTTCAATACACAATACATATACATATATTTCAAATTTTCAAATTTTAATTTTTCGATTTTTAGATTTTGATCTATTTCGATTTCTCGATTTTTCGACTTCTCGGTTTCTCAATCTTTAATAATAACTTAAAAATCGAAAATTTTGAAAAAAAAATCAAAATATCTAGAATTTGAAAAATCGAAAAACTGCAAATCGAAAAGGGAACAAACAAAAAACTGAAAAATCAAAAAACTAAAAAATTTACCGTTAAAACCACGAAAAATTGTAAATCGAAACTGGAAAATGTGCCTAATTAAAAGATGGAAAATAAAAATATGTATCTGAAAATTGGAAAAATTGGAAAATCGAAAAATAGGTAAATTTAAAAACAAAAAATAAACTCTAGAAATTAAAAACTCGAAAAATTGTAAATCGAAAATTTTAAATTAAAAAAATTTAAAAACGAAAAATTGAAAAATCGAAAAATTTTAAAAGTCAAAAATTGAAAAATCGAAAAATTTACGAACGAAAAATAAAATCTAGAAATTGGACAATCAAAAGATACTAAAATCTAAGAATTGCAAATCGAAAAATTTGGAAAAGGGAAATAAAAATATGTATCTAAAATTGATCGAACAGCTAATTGTACAAAAAAAATTGAAAAATGAGGAATTTATCGGACATAACGCGAAAAATTGTAAATCGAGAAATTAAAAATTGGAAAATATAAAATCGCAAAACTGAAACTGAAAAATGTAACTGAAAAATGGAAAAACATAAACCGAACATCTGAAAAAATTATACATAATTGACAGCTCGAAATCGAAAAATTAATCGAAAAAAGAAAATCGGGAAACTGAAAAATCTACGACCTGAAAGATGGAAAATCAAAAATTGGAAAATTTCAAATAGAAAAATTGACAATCGAATAATTGAAAAATCAAAAAACTGAAAAATGAAGCAATTTTAAAACGAAAAATGAAATCTAGAAATTGAAATATGGAAAATATAAAATCGAGAAACTGAAAAGTCTAGGACTTGGAAAGACGTAAAATTAAAAATGGAAACACTGAGAAACTGAAAAAATGAAAAATAAAAAATTAGAAACGAAAAATGAAACTCAGAAATTGAAAAATCGAAAAAATTTTACAATCGAATAGGTAACTAAAAAATCGAAAAATTTTAAAAATAAAAACCAAAAATGGTGGAACAAAGGAAGAACTGAAAAATCGAAAATCTAAAAAAATTATTATTAAAACCACGAAAAATTGTAAATCAAAAATTTTAAAATGAACAATATAAAATCGAGAAACTGAAAAATGTAATTAAAAGATGGAAAATAAAAATATAGAAAAATTGGAAATTGGAAGAATTGAAAAATCGAAAAATGGGGAAATTTAAAAACAAAAAATAAACTCTATTAATTGAAAACTCGAAAAATTGTAAAACGAAAATTTGAAGTTACAAAAAATTTAAAAACGAAAAATCTAAAATTCCAAAAATTTTAAAAATCAAAAATTGAAAAATTGCAAATTGAATGTGTAATATGTAATTGAAAAACCGAAAAACTGAAAAATTTTAGGGTGATACCTCGAAAAACTGCAAATCAGGAATTAAAAAATAAAATCGCGAAACTGAAACTGAAAAATTTAACTGAAACATGGAAAATTAAAAATCGAAAATTTGAAAAAATTATACATAAATGACAGCTCGAAAATCGAAATTAGAAAATCGAGAAACTGAAAAATCTACGACCTGAAAGAGGGAAAATCAACAATCGAAAAATCAGAAACCGAATAGCTGGGAAATTTAGAAACGAAAAATGAAATTTAGAAATTGAAACATTGAAAATACAAAATCCAGAAACTGAAAAATCTACGACTTGAAAGACGTAAAATTAAAAATGGAAAAATTGTGAACGGAAAAATCGGACAATTGAGAAAAAAAAAAACGAAAAATGGAAAAATTGTGAAACTGAAAAAACGAAAAATCAAAAAATTTAGAAACGAAAAATAAAACCCAGCAGATGAA